TCCTCATTAATTTCACATCATTTCAAACAAAAACTTCTGAGCTAAATTTCCCATCATTCTTCATTTTTACCAAAACACCCCGGGGTCCTAGGACTGACCTTTGTGGAAAACCCTGCTCGTCACAAGTGCCCACTTTGATATCTCGTCATGTACCATGACTCGTTGATATCATCCCATCAGGTATTCCCTGATCCTTGCATTTGCCTTCCCTGTTATACCTACCTAGTCCTCCAGCTTTTGCTCTAATCTCTTGTGTGGTCTGTGTCAAAAGCCTTCTTACAGTCCAAGAAAATGCAGTCTACCAACCTCTCTTTTTCTTGCTGTTGTATGCAAAGATTTATGTAATCTTTATTTAGAGCATGTTAACACTCTCATATAACTGCACACCAACCAGCGAACCAGATGCTAACGTCTGACCATCCATTGGGGCCCCATTGTCAGATCAGTATCTAGGTTCAGCCAATCAAAACGTGGATCTGGCAACTGTGAAGGTAAACAGGGTTTTACCACTCACCTTTTGACCCTTGTCATTTTCATTCCACCTCTGGTTGAATCACGGTGGTCTGCTCTCTATTCGCTGCGGTTCTGCCTTGATTACCATGACGTGCACTAATACCTGTTGCTGTTCATAGTGTAATAGTGTATATACTTCTGTTTTATACTTGGTGAAGGAAAAATGTAATTCAAAGTTTTTTCTTTTTTTTATTTTGCTCCTTTTACCACCCAAAATAACAGGTTTTTGAGCACATGTCCGAGAGTTGGAGATGGACTTAGACCAAAAAGCTGAACCTAGATTAAACTTGGAAGTAATGTAGATACTGGCTGTCTGGCATTGCATCAGCTTTCCCAATGCTTCACAAATTTTGCGTGTCAATTTTTGCATTAGTTAGGGCCAGACCTCTCAAATGGTCGCAGTCTATAGTGACCACAGTCCTCGGGTTAATCTACAACATATAAAAGAACCATAACACAAGACTCAAAAAGTGGGTGCATCAGACTGCAACCGTACAACATAAAAATTTGTCACATCGCCGGCAAAGAAAATATGCTGGCTGATTCTTTACCCCGCATATATTAGGTTAGGATTGTTAGGGACTTTGGATAAAATTATGTTCAGTTCTTTTTTCCTCTCTTTTGTATATAATGTATATTTTAAATTATGTTTTTTTAGTGAGGTGATATTCTGCTACCCACCGCAGGTCTCTTGGCCCTACGTTACCCTACTGTCTGCTGTCTCACTCTAAGTTTAGAGTTTGGCTTTATATCGCAATTAAAGCTGAGCTCTATCTAATGAGTTGGATGGTTGAGAGGAAAGGGGGTTTCATTATACTTTGCCATGGTGGCACTTTTACCCACTGAGGTACAAGCCAGTCCTGGGTCCTCTTGGGGTGGGGGTGTTGCATGTAAAGAGTATGTAATCTTTATTCGGAGCATGATAACACACTCACATTAGCTGCCTCACCAACCAAAGAAACAAATGCTAAGGGTCTGACGATCCAACGGGGCCCTGTCGTCAGATCAGTATCTAGGTTCCGCCAACCCACAAGTCGATCTGGCAATTGTGAAAGTGACATTGTTTAACCACCACCTTTCCACCCTTGTCACCTCATTCTACCTCTGGTTGAAACAGGGTGGTCTGCTCTCTCTTGGCTGCTGTTTTGCCTTGATTACCGTGGCATGCATTAATACCTATTGCTGCATAGTGTGTATATGTATTTTACTTCTGTTTATACTTCGCGAAGGATAATGTAATTCAAAGTTTTTCTGCTGTTTATTTTGGGCTCGTTTTACACCCAGGATAACAGCCTTTGGGGTACATAGGTTGTAATATTTGTCTTACTGCTGTCACTTTGTCAAAAGAACTCCAGTAGGTTTGTGACGCAGGATTTCCCGTCCCTGAATCCATGTTGGTTGTCATTGAAAGCTCATTCCTTTCTAGGTGCTCTTTCACTCTTCTGAAAAACTTCTCAGTTACATTGCATACTGTACATGTCAGTGACAGGGGTCTGTAATTTAGTGCCACAAGTCTGTCTCCCTTTTTTTATAAAAACTGGACTAATATGCTTCTTCGTACCTCGGTAGTCGGGCCCCGTTTTGATAGACGTGTTGAAGATTTTTGCTAGTATACGCAGAGTGCCTCTGTTCCCTCTCTCAGATCCATGGATAGATGTTGTCCTGGCCCCATCGCCTTTGAGATATCAGTTCGCTTAGCAGCCTCTTCACTTCCTCCCGGGGTTTTATTGTGTCCAGAAGTTGATGGGTGTACCCCCCCCTCCGTGTTTTTGTAGTTCTTTCTGTCCTCACCTGAATACCTCTTTAAATCTCAGGTTGAGCTCCTCACATAAATTCTTGGGCGTTTCTTGTGATCTACCCTTCTTCCTCCTCAGCCTGATTACCTGGTCCTTGACTTTTGTTTTCCTCCCCGATATGATTACAACAGCTTCTGGGCTCTGTTTATGTGGGTGTATGTGTGTGTGAGAGAGGTAGATGGAGAGAGAGGAGATAAAGGGAGGGAAGAGAGAGAGAAAAGAGAGAGAGAGAGAGAGAGAGAGAAAAGAGAAGAGGAGAAGAGAGAGAGAAGAGAGAGAGAGAGAGAGAGAGAGAGAGAGAGAGAGAGAGAGAGAGCAAGAAAGAGAAAGGGAGAGAAGGGAAAAAAGGGAGAGAGAGAGAGCAGAAAAAGAAAGGGAGAAGGAGAA